GGGAAATAAATTATTTAGTGTAAATTGGAGTTACAAGATTTTTCTGATTTGTTTTGACTTTGGGGGAGGGGTTGGCAATAAATAAGAGTAATATCTAATAAATCCATCACATATACCAAATACCTATTTAATAAATTAATTTATAATGGATTTTAATGCTTTTCATGAAAGTTTTCTTTATGCTGGTGCATACCTTCTGTATGCCAATCATTGTCTTTACAATAAAGTGAGTTTGGTTTTTTCTTTTGACTTTGATCTTCATTTGCCCAAAGCTCCCACAGGGATATCCCGTTGCCTCTTTTGTACCATCTCTAGAAACCCCTGAGGGCCTGGTACCACACTAGCGAGCTTCCTTTTTTTTTTTCTTTTTTTTTTTTTTTCTTTTTTTTTTCTTTTTTTAGGGATTGCTATCACAAACACCCAATTGGGGATGGTATATTTCAAGATTTATTTCTTTTAAAAAAGTGTGAAAGTTTCACTTAGTTGTGAATGGCTGTATATTTCCTTTAGTGTTTATAGTTTAACACACACACCCCAAAGTGAATGTTTATAGACATGGCATTCGGAGAAAGTTTTGATTGTGAGTTAAAATATCTGATTACTTAAGCAACAAATTTAGAAGTAAATGCTTGGCTTGGCGCCCATGTATGACTGGCACACTAAGTTTTCAAGGCATCTAAGCACAGGAGCTCACAACTCTGCAGATCACTGACACAAACCATAACTTGGGCTTCATCGAGTGCGGTCGTCCATACATGCCACAACAAAAGGCCACCTGCTGGGGTCTGGCTTCCTGTCTCACCATTGCTTGCTTTCAGTGTATGTATGGCATCCACCTTTGAGTCTTTTGCTCCTGCCAAGCCGGTGGAGTGATAATAACTGGGAGGGGGGGGTACTTCTGGAAGACGGCCCTGCAAGGGCTGGTGAAGCAAAGGGAGAGCAAAATATATAATTCGTGGGGAAAGAAAACATACTTTCTATCTTCTGAGTATTAGATGATTGTGTGTAGTTTGTCTGAACCAATCACTAGAGCCATTTGGGAGTGGCTGAGGGTCCCAGCAGGGCAATGGACCACACATCTGGCAGGAAGCTGTTGTCACTGTCTAGGAACTCCACAGAGACACCCTCCTCCAAGTCCCTCCTTGAGACTTTTATTGCTAATTTAGTGCCTTCCTCTTGTGTTAAGAGTCCCTGGGGGCTGAGACACCCCTTTCCCTTTGACAATAGCCTGTTATACATACCTTTGGGTTGTGGGAAGTCTGGGTCCTAGTGCTCCACCCCTTGCATCACAGTCCAAGGGAGCTTTGTGGATCAGCTCCTAATTGTCATTCCACACCCAAGTATTCCATGTGTCAGAACAGACTGGAGCTGGGGGTCGGGGGCTGTCATTGGTAAACAGGCTCTGTTGGAAAGAACTGTCCAGCCAAGTTGGCTATAGAGCACCAGCCCTCACTGGAAATGCTACAGATCCTAGGATATGGCTTAGATCCATAACTGTATACAACGGCTCTTAGGTTGGTATCTGCTCATAGCACGTATCTGTAACCAACAGTCTGTCCTTTCCTTTTTAAAAGTGGTTAACTGATGCCAGCTTCACTGAAGTGGCTCAGGTGGTACCTGCCAAGGTATACAGGCCCTGCTTGCCAATTGCCCCCAACTCAGCAAAAACTTTTAAGTGACAATATGCCCAGATTGCTCAGTCAGTTCTCCTCAGCAATTGTCTGAAAAGGCCCACATTTGTCACCTCTCGATTTGAAGGCTCAGCTAATGAGCCCCGAATGCTGTAAAATCTGCTCTGTAGATGCAGGTTCCTTTATAGGGAGCAAGCCTTACCTAGCCATAAGCGTTGGGCACTTAAGTGCCAACTCTAGAGCCAAGGAGCAGGTTCCTGCCATTGCTTTCTGAGGTGCTTTCCTGCGTCTTCCTCCCACCCAGAACTGTCTGCAAGCCCTGGGCCAGGCTGCATTTTCTCTTCCTCTTTATCCAGTGTGGTGACTTTCAGCTTTACTGCCTACGGAAGACTCCCAGAATTTTATTTCCCTCCAGTCATCATTCCAAGTCAAAATTCTAGAATCTATTATCCCTTGTCCTCAGTGAGATTCCAAATCCTGAGGGGAGAGGACCATTAATTTTTTCGAATGTTTTTATTCGTGTGTGTGTGTGTGTGTGTGTGTGTGTGTGTGTGTGTGTGTGTGTGTACATGCAAATGGGTGTTTTTCCTGCATTCTATATATGTGCCTGGTTCCCATGGAGGCCAGAAGAAACATCAGATACCCTGGAACAGGAGTTACAGTTGTGAACTAAAATGTGTGTGCTGGGAATCAAACCTGGGTGCTCTTAACTACTGAAGCAACTACCAACTTAGGTCATGAATTCAAAACCAGCCTGGGCTACACAGTGAGCTGCTGTTTTTTTTGTTTTGTTTTTTGTTTTTGTTTTTGTTTTTTTCTGAGACAGAGTTTCTCTGTGGCTTTGGAGGCTGTCCTGGAACTAGCTCTTGTAGACCAGGCTGGTCTCGAACTCAGAGATCTGCCTGCCTCTGTCTCCCGAGTGCTGGGATTAAAGGTGTGCGCCACCACCGCCCGACTAGTGAGCTGCTCTCTTAAGACCCTCCGTCCAATCAAGGTTTCTTTGTGAGAAATGAGTTTTTTCTTTCAAAGGTGGCTAGCCCACCAAGAGCCAGTATTCCCTAAGTTACCTTCATCTTGTAAAACCCTTATTAAAATCTTTTCATCTCTCCTGCCCTGTAAAACTTTGAAGCTGGCTGCATTCCTGGAACTTGACCATTTTCCTCTTTGCTACATTTCCTTCTCACTGCTTTCCAAATTAGCCAGTAGACTGTGAGGTTGAGCCTCAGCCAATGAGGAAGCCAAGCTCTCTCTTGCATTAAGGATAAAAGATGGAATCCATCTTGGCCATCTGTGTTGAGTCACGCCTTTTTTGTGATAAGAAATGGCCTTGCCCAGTTACTTTGTTTGTTTCAAATCACACAGTTGGAAGCATATTCTTTCCCAACACCACACTAACTTATTTAGAGTGGGCTTCTCCACCGTTTACCTCATCTCCCATGTCCCACGTTGCATTTTAGTACAATCTGCATTTTTTAATTTGTTTTTTGGCTTCTTAAACTAGTTTTGGGAAGGTGCTAATTCTTGATAATGCTTTTTAACCAAGTGAAAGCATTGCTTGTGAAGTCTTTAAACACTGTTGTTAACATTTCTGTTCCTCCTTTCTCTTACCTCTAAGTCCCAGGAGTCACCAGGAAGAGACCAGGCAGGAAACATTAGGTTCTTTGCTTCAACAGGATTCCGCTCCATGAAGAGATGGGGTTTGGAAGGAGGTACAGCAGTGGCTCAAGGAAACCTCGTCAATGGACCTATGTATGTTCTGCCTCTCCTACATGTAAGTTCACTTAATGCAAGTGCTTCGTGAAAATGGAAGTACTGACTTGTCTGGACACTGAATAGATAAGAATAATAGAGAACTGAGTTCAGAAGGAGCCACCAGGTCCCTCTCCCAAGAGCCTGTGGCTCCCAGAACACCAAATCTGAGTCCATCCTCTGTAGTTGTGCCACCCCAGTGTTTTTTTTTCTTCACAAACACGAGTTGTGGCTCATCCAGTCAAGCATCTCAGCTTAGCACTGTCTCCACTTCAGCCTCAATGCCTGACAAAACCAGGTGACTACACGTGTGTGTTAGGTTTCAACTTTTCAGCAGTGTTTTGGTTTTTTTCCATTTATTACGAGACCAATATTGTAACAGTAAAGGAGTCTCCAGGTAATCTCCTCCCATGCATATGTTGAGGACCCAGCCTACTCCTGGACAAAGATGACACCCCGCACATTCTCAGGAGAGTCCCAGGAGACCAGCCTAAGCACAAGGTCCCAAATTACAAGTGGCATGAAAGCAAAACAGCTCCCCCAGATGTCACAGTGACTTGGTGCTACCCAGCTGCCCTGGACTCCAGCACCCCTTCCTGCAACATCATCCTCGTGGAGTTTCTGGTTCACACTGGAAACATGGGCCCTTTTCCATCCTTCCCCAGCAGGCCTTACACTTTCCGCTCTCTCCAGAGCGCCATCCCATCATTAGCGGGGCTCCACCACTGGCCTCCCTCTAGGTTCCAGCTTTTCAGGGCTCCAGGTTCTAGAAGCCACCACTCTGTGTCACGCTGCTGCTATTTCCTTGAGTGAAGAATGACCATCATGGTGATAAGAGAGGCCAGCTCACACCTGAGCTCACCCGACTGCCCTGCCCTCCAGTTCCATGCAAGCCATACATTTGAAAATTCTTCAGAGTATGACTAAAAAACAAGCCACCAGTCTGCCCTTACTAGAGCTAAAAGGAAAGAGGCATTCTGGTCCCCTAAAATTGTCTCCTGCCTCTCTTTTTCTCCCACGTTGTGAAGTTACACTCTTCCTTGTCCAAATTTACCACAGCTTATTTGGATGGTGACAGCTGTGGCTGTCATGTAAGGAATCGACTCCATGCCACCCCTTACACACACACACACACACACACACACACACACACACACACACACCACCATAGATAAAGAAACATGGTTGCTCTGAGGATTCCTCCAACGTGGTAAAGCCTGTCTTGTAACACAGCTTGCCAGACAATTTTCTGTGGTTAAAAAATCAAGTTCTATTTTAAGTTTTTTTTTTTTATAAGAATGTGATTTTTTTCTTTCATAGACAAACGTTTAATCACAACACAGTGCCCACACATAAAAAAATCAAACAAAACAAAAACAAACACCCTCTCTATTTCCACAGAGTGGTACTCATCTGAACCCAGCTTCCCCTACAACTGACCAGGCCCAGCCCACCGTGAGATGGAGAACTAGACTTGGAGGAGAAAGCTGGGCATCCTCCCTGTGCCCAGCCTTTAGTTTCACTGTCCCATCTCCATGACCAACAAAACCTCCATGCAGACACCCATCAGCCTTCTGCTCTGCCTGCCAGGATCTCTCATCCTACCTGGGGGGGGCTCCCTTACCGCCCCAGCTCACTATCCCCTGCCCCAGCCTGTTGCCGCCGCTGCTTCACCAGCTGTTTGTCCAGCTCTCGGAGCTGCTTCAGGAAGCCCCGGTTGGGCAGAACACAGCGGTTCTTAGCCACTTGTTGGATGGCGTCCACCAAGGTCATGTTCTTGTGAATCATCAGATAGGCCAAGACCAAGGTCGCTGACCGGCTTCGGCCCATGGCGCAGTGAACCAGGATCTTACCTGCAGGTGGAGGGGGGAAAAAGCCAACGCTAAAGGCTGAGGCTCCTTAACCCGCATTCATTCTCTCTGTTGCCCACGGTTTGGGTTGGGCCACAGCTCCCCATTTGCAAAATGGGGACGCAGTCACTCAGTCTCTTGCATAGGGGTGTTGGGAAGGCAGTTTGTGTACAACAGACCTGTTCTGTAATGGGGCTGGTGAAAGTTACAACCGTTGCTCGGGAAGAGGAGAGGGCACCAAACCTCCTGGAAGCTTTTGCCTGTTTCAGTGTTTACTCAGTCATGTTTAACATGTTTAACGTCAAAGCATACCCCGGAAGACTGACTGAGAAACCGCCTTCCACAAGGCTCCTTGGCTCTGCAGAGCAACAGGTGCCCCCATCCCCTGTGAGTTCTTCCAGAGGAGAATCTGCCCTTCAGAGCTGATCCCATCCTTCTCCCCCTCCCCAAATCTTGGTTCTTGACTCCCAAACCCACAAACTTTAGATTCTCCTCCTGCCTCCCACCTCCCTCCCTCCGTCCCTCGTCTTCCCCTCTCCTGTGAATGGAAACCAGGGCCTTTTGCCTGCCAGACAAGCACTGGACTACACTCCCAACCTTTCAAAGACCTTTGTCTATCATGCTTATTTCATTTAACTGTTTACATTGGAGAGCTCTATATATCAGTATATCAACAGTTCTCTTTTCTTTTTTCTTAAGCCCCACCCCCACACACACAGCACCATACTGGAAATAAAACCCAAGACCTTAGACATGCTACACAAACATATCCTCAAGCTGCATCCCAGCAAGAAATTATCTTCAAAGCATATATCTGGCTTCTTTCTTTGTTGATGCTAGGGATCAAGTGCAGGGCCTTGTGTGTGCTCAGCACCCGTCATTCCACTGAGCTGGACCCCTGACTTTGCAAGTACATATTCCGAAACTACTACTTTAACTCTTTTATTTTTTTTTTTTTGACAGGGTTCCCCTGTGTAACCCAGGATGGTTTCAAACTCAACATTCTCCTGCCTCAGCCCCTCAAGTGCCAGGATTAAGCAATGTAAATAAGCACTCCATTGCAGACCCTAGGATGACCCTGGAATGCCCATCCTGTCTTTGGAATGGCAGTGCAGGGCAAAGGTGTGCATGCCATTTCCACCTATGTGACATTGCTGGCTTTAACTTTGAATATGCCAGAGCTCCCACAGCCCCCAAAGGCTTTTGAGAGGTCTGGACTCAGAACGCATGGGAACCTGCTGACTTGCAGATATTAGACCCAGACTCCTTCTGTTACTAACTGCTAAGTGGGTGACAAATGACAAAGCCACTTAGCCTAGTAAGACTTAATTTCCCTAACTGTCAAGTGGAGGGGCAGAATCCAATCAGTAGTGAATAAAACCCATTCAGGAAGAAGTCACATGGCCGGGCAGGCTTTTAAACAGTGAAAGCAGTTTGTTGTTTGTTTGTTTGTTTGTTTATTTTTTTCCTCTTTTTTTTATTTTTCAAGACAGGGTTTCTCTCTATAGCTTTGTAAACCAGGCTGCCCTTGAACTCACAGAGATCCGCCTGCCTCTGCCTCCCGAGTGCTGAGATTAAAGGCGTGTGCCACCACCGCCCAGCTAAACAGTGGAAGTAGCTTTACTGTGTCCTGTGCCAGAGGCCCAGGATGAATATTCCAACTACTAAAACTAACTAAAACCCATCTCCACACTAGTTCTGGAGGTTTTTTGTTTTGTTTTGTTTTGTTTTGCCTGGTTTGCTTTTGTTTTTGATGGGTCTTATGTATCCCAGGCTGGCCTTGAGTCCACCATGTACCTCAGGATATTTTCAACCTCCTGAACCTCCTGCCCCACACTCCAGGGTTCTGGGATTACAGGCATGCACAATCATACCCTGCTAATAGTACCTGTATACAATTGACTCTTTCGACTGTGTTAACAAACATGCTGACTTTGTCCTTATGACAGTCACAAAGGCAATGGTGCCTTAGTATGAAGGATGTCACAGGCAATAGCTATGCTAATAGTTACTGCTATGTCTACCACCACACACTGGGGAGAGGACAGGCAATTCCCTCTAGAATATCCTTAATACAACAGTAAAAATGAAGTTTTATCAAATTTCAGCCCTGGAGTATACCTCTTGAGACAAGACATGTACACAAAGCATGCTAAATGCAGCCAGGTGGTGGTGGCACACGCCTTTAGTCCCAGCACTCAGGAGGCAGTGGCAGGCAGATCTCTGTGAGTTCTAGACCAGCCTGGTCTACAAGAGCTAGTTCCAGGACAGCCTCCAAAATCACAGAGAAACCCTGTCTCAACCCCCCCCCAAAAAAAAACAGCATGCTGAATGCATACAACAAACATTGGCTTGCTCAAGGAAAGGCACATGGGAGATATGGAGGAGAGTCGAGCTGCTGTCTCATGCAACACATTTGTCTTTGAAGGAAAAACAGTATGCTCGGTGATAGAAATTTTCTTAGAAGTGAAGGAGCAAGGCCCAGTCATGGTGGCATATGCCTGTGGTGGCCCAACACTCAAAAGGCAGAGACAGGGGGACTACTATGAATTTGAGGACAGCTTGGTTATCTAGTCCACCTAAGACTACCTATATGGAAATTTAAAAACAAAAAATTAACGAAGGGGGTGGAGAGATGGCTCAGAGGTTAAGAGCACTGGCTGCTCTTCCAGAGGTCCTGAGTTCAATTCCCAGCAACCACATGGTGGCTCATGACCATCTGTATGAGATCTGGTGCCCTCTTCTGGCCTGCAGGCAGAACACTGCATACGTAATAAATAAATAGAAGCTTTAAAAAAAAAAAAAAGTTAATGAAGGCAGTCTGTCTTTCAAAGAAAATGTGGTACATTTGTTGTCAGGGATAAAAATGCAGGCGTTCAGGCAGGAGCTAGAATTCTAAATCTCTCTCTATACTGTGATACTGAGTTTCCTAAAACTTCAAGAGTCTCCCATTCCAGAGGGTGTTGTAGGGTGTTGCATACCTCTAATTCCAGTACACAGGAGGCAGAGGCAGGAGGATTATTGCAAGTTAGGGACCAACCTTGGCTACATTGTGAGCTCCAGGTCAGCCAAACTACATAGTGACCCTTTCTCAACAGCCAACAAAAACAAGAACAATAAAAAAAGACGGGGTTGGGTGAGATGAACAAACTTGGCTTTCAAAGATCAGTCATGCACAGGCAGGGCATTTGAAAGGCCCACGTGATCTGGTGAACTGCAATTTTCAAATGCCAAGTATAGAACCTGTGACCTGTAGAATTACAGAATTATGGCAAAGGAGCCATCAAAGTGCAAGGCTCACCAGTGGGTTTGGTTTTCTTTCGAAGACAGGGTTTCATATACCCTAGGCTGACCTTGTACTCCCTGCACAGCTGAGGATGGCCTTGAACTTCTGATCCTCCTACTTCTTTCCACCTTCACTACTGGGATTACAAGTATGGGCTATGATGCTCAATTTACAGGGTGCCAGAGATCTCCAATGCATACACTTTATTACTTTTAATGAATATTTGAAAATTTCCAGTTCTTATTTTCAATGGAATAAGCTATATTGTATGGATGTTACCTATACACAGAAAACCTTTGAAGCCTTCACTGATTTTTTTCTTTTTTCTTTTCTTTTTTTTTATTTTTTGGTTTTTCGAGACAGGGTTTCTCTGTGTAGGTTTGGAGGCTGTCCTGGCACTTGCTCTGGAGACTAGGCTGGCCTCAAACTCACAGAGATCCGCCTGCCTCTGCCTCCCGAGTGCTGGGATTAAAGGTGTGCGCCACCAACGCCCGGCACCTTCACTGATTTTTAAGAGTATAAAAATTTTCTGAAACCTAAAACTGTGAGAGGCAGTGGTCCTGATGCTGTTCAGGCCAATACCACCCATATCCACAGCCCTGATGCATAAGTGGCCAAGTCCCTCAGATCTCCACTTGGTGTCGCTCTAGAGTCCACCCAGTATACCTGCTGGCCGGGTCTCACTCCAGCTTTGACTTAAACCTCATTATCATCCTGTCCCTGCTTTGCAGATGGAGAACAGGTTCAAAAGTGAAATGTCTGGCCAGATGCCACCCACAAGGTCAATGCCACAAGAAGCATTGCAAAATGTGTTTGAGGCCTTCACGGTGCCACTGTACTCTGAGGTTTGGCCCTCTGCTCTCCCTCAGTGGTGGCTGTTTCCTATGGCTCTGGGATTCTCTACTGAGGTTCAACTGGTTGGAGCTACATAAGCACGGTACTGTCTGTCTTCCTGCCCCTCATCCTGGAGAGATAAAACAGAAGTTGCCTGTGGACAGTTTCTGCATGGGCATAGCTCTCTGCCCCTTTTACCCCTCCATTCCTCATGGGACCCAATCCAGGACAACGACAAAGGCCAGAAGCCAAGACAACATAAGAAATGCAAGCATCCCCCACCCCCCCAGCACAGTAGGCACCTCAGTTGTCCTATTCTCACTCCATGTGGGATGGACAGACCTGGGCCCCGTGACCAGTTACAAGGACCCCAGAGGGGCCTGGCAGAGAAGTGCGCTCCAGTTCATCACTATTAGTGCCTCTCTCTGTCTGCTCAGTCAGCAAGGAGGGCGGGACGCAGCCCCCTTTGGTACTGTGTCACTTAGGGGGCACTGGGCCTCATTCTCATCCAGCATGAACATCCAAGCAGATGAACATCTACCTCTGGCAGATGGAGCCTTCCATCTACCCAAAGGAGAGAGTTTCAGATAGAGGTTGCCTGGCCACCAGCCAGCTCTGCTGATAACTAATGTGTTCCTTCCTCTCCTGTCATAATACTTGCAACAGATGAAAGCTGCAGCCCATACACTTTTGAGGAGCCTGAAGTCTGTAGAGAGAAGGCAGAGGAGAAGAAGAAGACAGGGGAGGAAGATGGAGAGGTGGGAGTGGGAAAAAATGAGGGAGGGGGTTGGGAAGGAATGAGGGGGATGCTCAGCTCTGGCTGGAGCTCGGAGACGAACGTGGTTCTCATGAATGCTGTCAGCCCAGAGAAAGAGACCAGCTT